TCTATTACAAAATGTTTGAAAATTACCCGATAAACATTGCGATGAACGAAAATTATCTTCGATATCCAATATGAATGTCGTGAAAAGTAACATAACGCTCATTTACTTCAACACTGTCATAGCAAAAAAAAACCCCTATAAAAACGTCTTTAAAGTTTTGTACTTACATATACTCCCATAGCAAAAATTAATACATCTTTCGCGCTCATGATCTACGGGTAATCAGTACAGCCATGCAATTTTTATACACCATAGAAGAAGGGGTAGTGGTCATTCGAATATTGGGCTTGGTTAAAAATTCTTAAATAATTGGAGAGCGAATCTTTTGCTTCACCTTCTATAATGAATGGGGTAAGAGGATGGTCTTCGACACCATTCTAAAATAAACTTTTTAATGAAAGAAAGCTTCTCTTTCCTTTAGAGAATGGACTTCACCACATTCATTTCTCATTTTTTGCATTTACATTTCATTTTAAAAGTAAAGTGGTTTATAAATACATATACGCGGCAAATATTATTTGCTCTTAAAACGTATACCTCTTTGCTATAAACGATTAATTTACACCAGTGGTCGGCATACTAACACATTAAAACGATTCAATAAGTGAGACTGTGTGCTTTATATACACTGCTCAGCTGCCGCTCTTCGGATGCGTGTGAAACACACATGTGCTCAGAGAGCGCTCAGTTAGCTATGGCCTGCCGATCAACGCTTTATGGTCCCGTCAGAATGGGTACTTTGTGTACGTTCCGCTTAAGGATGAAACTGACAGTTGAGTATACTGTGTGTGGCTGCATAGAGTGTCAGATTGGTAACCCTTGCGTCAACGGACCCAAGGAACGTTGGTCAACACTAAACTTTTGACGCATGTAAGTCCGTCACTGCTGACTGTTGTATGTATAACCCCGCGTTTACATAAGACAATACCAATGAGAAGATGCACATAATTTACGCATTGTTTGAGTAAAGTAGGCATCCAGACAATAAACTGTCTTCGAAAAGCCGGAGACAGTAATGAAGACATCAAGTGAAGTGGGAATATATTAGTAAAAACAAGTAAGAAAGTCTAAGTTCGGGCGGAGCCGAACATTAAATACCCGGCGCAAGTATTAAATATATGTTTTCCACCTTTCCGAAAGCTACCGCTACATGATAAGCCGGGGTGTATACATTTTAAGTAAATTAGCGTCCTTAAAT